AGATGCCATGATCTTAGTTTTCTGAATGTTGAGCTTTAAGCCAACTTTTTCGCTCTCCTCTTTCACTTTCATCAAGAGGCTCTTCAGTTCTTTGCTTTCTGCCATAAGGGTGGTGTCATCTGGATATCTGAGGTTCTTGATATTTCTCCTGGCAATCTTGATTCCAGCTTATGCTTCATCCAGCCCAGCCTTTCTCATGATGTACTCTGCATATAAGTTAAATAAGCTGGGTGACAATATACAGCCTTGACATACTCCTTTTCCTATTTGGAACCAGTCTGTTGTTCCATGTCCAATTCTAACTGCTGCTTCCTCACCTGCATATAGATTTCTCAAGAGGCAGGTTAGGTGGTCTGGTATTCCCATCTCTTTCAGAATTTTCCAGTTTATTGTGATCCACACAGTCAAAGGCTTTGGCATAGTCAATAAAGCAGGAATAGATGTTTTTCTGGAACTCTCTTGCTTTTTTGATGATCCAGCGGATGTTGGCAATTTGATCTCTGGTTCCTCTGCCTTTTCTAAAACCAGCTTAATTTCATGGTTCATGTATTGCTTAAGCCTGGCTTGGAGAATTTTGAGCATTACTTTGCTAGCGTGTGAGATGAGTGCAATTGTGTGGTAGTTTGAGCATTCTTTGGCATTGCCTTTCTTAGGGATTGGAATGAAAACTGACCTTTTCCAGTCCTGTGGCCACTACTGAGTTTTCCAAATTTGCTGACATATTGAGTGCAGCACTTTCACAGCATCACCTTTTAGGATTTGAAATAGCTCAACTGGAATTCCCATCACCTCCACTTTGTTTGTAGTGATACTTCCTGCTGCTGCTGCTGCTGCTAAGTCACTTCAGTTGTGTCCAACTCTGTGCGACCCCACAGGTGGCAGCCCACCAGGCTCCGTCATCCCTGGGATTCTCCAGGCAAGAATACTGGAGTGGGTTGCCATTTCCTTCTAAGGCTCACATTTTATATCCCATGTACTTTATTCATTTAAACTCCCCTAGAATCATTCAACTTATTTTTTTATTGTGATAAAGTATTATATATATACCACATGAAATTTACCATTTTTAAGTGTGCAGTTCAGTGACACAGTAATTTCACGTTGTTCTGTTGCTATCGCCACTATCCATGTCTGGAATGTTTTCACTATCTCAAATTGAATTTATTATTTTTAAAAATTATTTATTTATTTATGGCTGTCCTGGATCTTCATTGCTTTGCTGGGCTTCCTCTAGTTGCAGTGAGCAGGGGCTACTTTTTGTTGTGGTGCACGGGCTTGTTATTGCAGTGGCTTCTCTTGTTGCAGAGCACGGGCTTTAAGGCACACAGGCCTCAGTAGTTGCAGCACGCGAGCTCATTAGTTGTGGATCTCAGGCCTTGGAGTGCTGACTCAGTAGTTGTGGTTCATAGGCCGAGTTGTCTTGAGGCATGTGGAATCCTGCATCGGTGTCCCTGCATTAGCAAGTAAATTCTGAACCACTCGACTACCAGAGAAGTCCCCAAATTGAATTTCTTTACCTATTAAACAGTAACTCCACATTCTCTTCTTATCTCAGTCTGTGGGAATAACTTTTCTTTCTATCTCTATGTATTTGACTATTCTGCGTACCTCATTGAAGTGGAATTATACAATATTTGTCCTTTTGTGTTTGACTTAGTCTACTTAGCATCATATCTCTTCAAGATTCATTTATCTGTGGTAGATTTGATCAGAATTTTATTCCTTTTAAAGGGTGAATAATACATTGTTTTTATATACTGCATTTCATTTATTAACCATTCATCTGTTGATGAACATTTAGGTTGTGTTCACCTTTTGGTTATTGTGAATAATGCTGCTGTGAACATGGGTATGTAAATATCTGTTTGAGTCCTTTCAGTTCTTTTGGGTATACCTATAAATGGAATTGCTGGATCAAATGGTGATTGTGTGTTTTAATATTTTGAGAAAACACCATATACATTCCACAGGGTATGTGGAAAACATACATTGTTTTCCCATAGTGACTGCGTTATTTATATTCCCACCAACAGTGACTGTTTTGTTGATAATAGCCATCCTGATGGATGTTTACTCAGCTTGTATTTTCTTAAGTGTGTTATAGCCAATAATGTGGATATTTGGTTCTCTAGTTCATTGGAGCTCAGATTCAGCAAATTAGGACTGTTTGATAGCTTAATGTAAGACCTAGAAATGAGGCATTTCAATTGGTAAAAGCAAGTTGCAAGTGAACTTTTGAAAAATTCATCTAGGAAACTCTTTATTCCTTGACCATTAAACGTTTACTCTGAGTTATATTATGGGCTTCCCAGGTGGCGCCAGTGGTAAAGAATCTGCCTGCCAGTGCAGGAGACATAAGAGACACAGGTTTGATCCCTGAATCGGGAAGATCCCCTGGAATAGGAAATGGCAGCCCACTCCAGTATTCTTGCTGGGCAGTTCCATGGGCAAAGGAGCCTGGTGGGTTATGGGGCTGCAAAGAGTTGGACACAGCTGAGTGACTGAGCATACAGAGTGCTGAATTATATAACTAGTCTAGATTTCTATTGTCCTATACTGTAGCCACTAGCCACGTGTGGGTATTTAATTAAACCTAAATAAATAAAATTATAAATTTAGTTCCTCAGTCACACTAGTCACATTTTAAATGCCCAAGAGCCGTATGTAGTGAGTGGCTACCGTATTGGGTAGAATAGCTATAGAACATTTATCATTGCAGAAAGTTATTTTGGGCAGAACTGGTCTAAAATTTTAAAAGATTTTATGAAAGGGCAGTATATCAGTATTTCTGTTAATTATAGAATAAAAGGTCACGTAGAAATTTAAAATTTGGAACTTCATTTACAGTATTGGAAAATACAAAATTTTTATGTATTGACCTGGGTTATTTATCTTGAGATTGGTAACTGACCAATTGCTCAACAATTATTTAGTGCTTTTAGGGGGCATAATACAAAAAGCTAAGAGCTTTTTGTTTGTTTTGTTTTTATGGAGAGGATTGGAGATCTTTCTCTAGATAGGTAGGTAGATCTACAAGTATTTATCTTCTACACATATAAAATATCTCTTACATATATAGAAATACATGTTCTGCTACATAAGTATGTACATACTCTTGCACACATGTATATCTTATACAAAAAAATGTTTTTCTCTAATATATTCTGGAAAATAGTCTGTATTTAAGTTTTTCTATTTATTATCGCAGTGTCTTTTATAGTTCACCCTTCCCAACCTTCCTCGAACACACATACACACCAGTTAAGGCTTTGACATTGCAGTTAGTTGCTGTGTCTTTTTTATTTCCTTTATACAGAAAAATCCTTACTTTTAAACAATTTATTTTCCCTTTCATGACATTGAAAGATACCAAGCCAGTGTCTTGTAGAATGTCTTCCTCTGAATCAGTTTTGTTCTTTGCTTTTCTGATATCACTTAACATGTTCCTCTGTCCCTTTTATTTTCTCTGAACTAGAAGTTGGTTCTAGAGACTTGATATGGATTCAGATTAAGCAATTTTTGTTTGATAAGAATCTTTTTTAGCTAACTCTCTGAATTTGGGGTTTGAGTCTTCCATGATGCTTATGTGAACAGTTGACCTAGTGACTCATGATTTATAAAATGCTTTTACATACAGTTTTCCACAGTAATATTAACATCTTGTGAAATAGGTTGATATTATTCTCACTGTCAGACTTTGGTTTTTGTTAACCTTTTACCTAGAAAGTTCTACAGTTCCACTCAGTTATCAGAACTATAAAGGGAGTTACTTTGTCTCTGCTGTCTTCTGATGTTTTTTAAAGGAGATACTAATGTTTTCATCATGTTGAGAAACAGATAAAAGTTATCCTTTCTAAATGTTATTTATGGACTTATCTGGTGGCCCAGTGGTAAAGAATCCACCTGCCAATGCAAAAGATGCAGGTTTGATCCCTGGGTCTGGAAGATCTACTGGAGAAGGAGATGGCAGCTCACTCCAGTATTCCTGCATGGGAAATCCCTGGCAGGAGGAGCCTGGAAAGCTACAGGTCATGGGGTTGCAAAAGAGTCGGACAGGACTTAGCGAATTTACAGTTATTGTATTTGGTTCTATATAAGATAATACCCCACATTTGCTGTTAAATAATAATTTCCCTCCTTTAAAAAATATCAACTCAAAATTACACCAGAAGATAAATAAAAAAACTAGTAGTGGTGTACTTAAACATTATATAACTACCATTCAGAGTTTCCGAGCAGCATAACCAATGTTAATATACTAAATTCATGTAATTCCAGTTGATAACAGAGAACTTAACTTTCCAAATTATTCTGTGCTTCTATAAGTACATTTATCATTTGTTTTAGTGTTTTGCCATACTTTTAACTATTTCTAAAATAACAAAATATTTTAACTTACTATTTTTATCTATTTGATTGTGAAGGTATCTAAAAATACTTCCTAATCCTTTGGTTTTATTTTAAAGTATTATTCTTTTTTTGTCTTACTTTGGTTACTAAGACAGTTAAAACCACTTGAGTGGTTTATATTTCAAACCTGGATATTGGTGATACAAATTTATAAAATATTAGTAATGATTTATTTCTGCAGAATTCAAAATAATGATACTAACTACTGTCTTTAGGAGCTGTGTATGTGCCCGTGTACACTTTACATGCATTACATGAACCCGTGTAACAATTCACAGTAATAAGAGGCAAGTTATCAGAGGTTAAGTAACTTGCCTATACAGGTGATAGTAGGGTGATGAAGTAGGGATTTGAACTCAGCACTGACTATGAAGTATAAAAAGCCTGTGACTTTTACACTGTGCCCTGCAGGTTCTGATACGACTGTGATGTAATAAAATGCTCACTGTTTAAGTACATTATAAGATGGGATTTATTTTGCTAATCTGAGTAAAAGTTTTGCTTTTGAGTTATATTGTTTTAGCAATGCATAGTTTAATTAGAAAATGCAAATTACTTTAGAATTTTTCTTTTCTTTCCCTCACCTCTAGATATTCAAGAATTTTATGAAGTGACCTTACTGGATAATCCAAAATGTATAGATCATTCAAAGCAGTCTGAACCAATACAGCCTGTAAATACTTGGGAAATTTCCAGCCTTCCAAGCACTACTGTGACTTCAGAAACACTGCCAAGCAGCCTTAGCCCTAGTGTAGAGGTAAGAAAAAAAATATTTTCCTTAAACTGTTTTCAGTGATCAATTAATTAGGGCTCCTAAGTTTTTTCATTTATTAAATGAAATTTATAAAATGAATTCATTTATTTTGTGGGAGTATCATTTATAATGGTATGAAACAGATGGGATTAAAAATATTTTTGAAGAAAAAGCCCAGAATTTCTGATACTCCTGTCTTAAAATAAATTGTTCAAAGTATGAAATACTTGACTATTAAAGTATTACTTTAGTCTTATTAGTATTACTTCAGCCTTATTAGACTTAGTGTTACTTAAAGTCTTTAGACTATTAAAGAATACTCTACATCAGCGAGGCTCCTTTCTGGGATAATTAGATAGAAACTACTTTGAAAAGATGGTTCTGCTCTGGTATTTTTTTCAGACAGCACTTGTTGCATTTATCCCTAGGATTCTGTCTTTATTGGCTTGAAGGATTGCATTGTTAAATCTCACTAGAGACTGATCAATAAAGCTTAAGGACAGCATTGGTTTCTCTATTGTTTTTGAAGTTAAAAATTGTATTTCTTTGATTTTTCATAACTATTTTAGTAATGTTCTTTTATGTTGTGATCTTTTATTGCTGGTGGAGTTATATATGGCATAAGCGTTTTGTAATGAGGATTCTGTCTGAGGCACATTAGTCATTTGAAGGTGGTTGACTGACTGACTTTGATTCTAGTATCTTCTAATTACTGCTGGAGAAGTGCCTGGAAAATTGAATCAGGGAAAAGTATTGGTAGGCAGCAACCACACAGCCCTTTGTTAATGAAATAGAGAAATTCTCAGTTTCCTCTTATATGAGATAACATAGAACTATAGAATTTTAGAGCCAGAAGAATCAGAGAACATCTCATCCCCAACCCCATCCCTCTTCATCTTAAAGATGAAGAAATTGTGATCCAGACAAAAATGAATAACTTGACCCAGTTTATTTGGCTAATTTGGGCAAGTCTACATTCTGATTTTAGACATCATAATACCCATTTCACAGTTCTCTTTATGAACTGTAGTATGTCCTTATAGTTTTCTCTTTGGTTAGAAATTCTAGTGTTATATTGCCTATGTATCCTTATTTTCCTTTTTATTGTTTTTGTCATTTTCTCTCAGATAATTTCAGTTTCTGTTCCCTTTATTTGGTATATCATTTGTACTTACGTTAGTCCATTTCAGATAGATGTTTAAAATGTTAATCAGTAGTAGTTTCTGTTTCACATTTATTATATAAGGAATTTTAAGAACCATGTGAAATTTTAAGAGAATTGGCTTCTTATTTAATAACTTTATTTTTCTACTGTCTCATTTATGGCACTCAGCTATAATTATAAAGCATAGAGTTCTTGAAGTTGATTTGTCTAATATTATAGGAGACTGTAGATTATGGCTGGCTCAGTGTAACCGGTAAAAGTAAATCTTCATTAAGGTTAAATAAATGGACATTTCTGCATACTGGAAGTTAATTTCCATATAGATTTTAGTCTGAAAGATCAACTATGCATTGAATTCCATTAAGAATAGTATTGGAAACATTTTAACTTCTATAAAATTGTGAGGCACTGATACCTAGAATGCTTTTTGCATTGCTGATTTCTGCATCTCCTGAAAGGTATATTATGGACATAGTAAAGGTATCTAAAATTAATAGGAAAATAAGACTCTTCAGACTGCAAATATCAGATCTTATTAATTAGGAATGTAGAGGAGAAGGAAATATGGTTACAAAATGTTATATAGGGCTTGGCGCATGGAAAATGCTGTAGTGGTATTTGAAATCTGTACCCATTCATGGGTGGACTTAGTAAGGGGAGGTTGGGATGTGTCCATCAAGTCCTAGATTTGATCAACAGAGAAAAATCTGTGAGCTAAGGTCAGTTGAAAGCAAGTTGTTTTGCAGAGAGGACAGAATACCTGAAGATGTTAATCTGAAAATGCAAATACTTTTGAAATATTCAAAAGTCATGTGGATGACAGTTCTAAGACTTAAAAAATAATAAGCTTGGCATATTTGGAGATTTGATTTCATTTATTTTGAGGGAAAGAAGGAAGGGATGTTCTCATGTTAGCCATCCATTTATGCTTCATTTGGACAGAAAACATGTCTAAGTGACCTGTAGCTTGATCTCTTATTTCAGTTCCTACTTTAGACTCTTAGGGGCACAGTGTTTGGGACTGAAAAGAGAGTTGGATCATTTAATTCACCTCACATGTTTTACGCAGCTGAAGAGAATCCGCTGACTCAAATTTAAACAAATGCAAACAAAAGTTTTTATTGGACTATAACTTGAAAAAAATGAAAATTATGAAAATATTTTGTCTTATATAAAAACTTAGAGTATTTTTACACAGTGCCCTAATTTTTGGATTAAAAAATAAGGTAGTCTTTTTCAGACAAAATGGCGTGCATCATGGTCTTGTCTCTTTCACTTTGTGTTCGCTTTTGCAGGACTATCTTAAAGAGTTACTTTTGCAAAGTATTTGAGATTGATCAATTTCCACCTGGGCTTGCCTCTCTTATTCTCTTAAAGTAAAAATTTTTGTCTTGGAAAGCACCTATCCACTTTTCTTTCTTGCCCTTTTATTTTTTTAACTGTTGATATCTGATCTAACTCTTGCAAGATTCCCATTTGTCAGTTAATATGTAGCCATGTGATTGTGTTTCTTCTATTTCTTCTGATGTAATAAAATAAGAATTAATGCTGTTTTTAAAGTACTACTTAGTATCATAATATTAATTAGTACTCCATTTAGTTATAACTTTTTTTGACTTTGGTATGTCTTACTTTGAACATATGCCTAGTAATACTAATTCATTTAATTAGTATTCCATTTAATTATAACTTTTTTTGGCTTTGGTATATCTTTCTTTTACTTTGAACGTATGCCTAGTGAGATGTTTGGAAATGTTTGTGTAATATTAATGATTGTGGGTGATGGGAATATTTTTTCTTCTTAGTACTTTTCTGTTACTTTTTAAAAATAATGAGCATGTGTCATTTTTATAAAAACATATCCATTCTAAAATAAGAGCAATTACTTTTAGAGATTGTAAGGAGAAGAATATTTGAAAGGAAGCAAAATGCAAGAGTAGGAGAAACTGCCTGATTTAAAGAGAAATTCCAACAGAGGGGCCATGCACCTTCTTTTGTCTGCTCAAACAAGATGCCATAGACTGAGTGGCTTATCAATAACACAGATTTATTTCTTACAGTTCTGGAGAATGGGAAGTCCAAGATCAGGGCACTAATAGATTCACTGTGTAGTGAGATCTCACTTTCTGGTTCATCAGTGACCATTTTCTTGCTGTGTCCTCATCATGGAAGAAGGTGTGAAGAAGCTCTCTGAGGTTTCTTTTGTATGAGCACTAAAGCCATTCACAAAAGTTGTACTCTGGAGACATAATCACTTCCCAAAGGCCCCATTTGTTAATACTGTCACATTTGGGGTTAGAACTTCAACCTGTGAATTTGGAGAAGGATACATTTAGTCTATGGCAATCCTGTTCCTGATGATACAGTACATTTCAAATGGATCAAAGATTCAAAGTTTTTAAAAAAAACATGAAAACAAACTTTTAAATCATTTTTGGATAGAGTGAAAGCTTTTCTAAACATGATAACAAAGAAAATCTTGAAAAATTCAAAGAGAAGCTTACTGACTCTGTAGAATTTCTTTGTGGACTTTACAGTGTTTGATTGTTTGAACTTTGATTGTAGAATTTCTGTATCTTGAAAGATACAATGAAGAAATAAGAAATGATACACTGGGAAGAAATTCCATCACGTATAAAAAAAGGAATGAATTTCTAACCCTTTTAACTCAGGAAACCTCTTATAGGTCAGTAAGAAGAAAAAGGCCAAATTCAATAGGAAAGTGACCAAAGGATAGGAATGGGCAGTTTAAAGGAAAAGAAATATAAACGGGCCAATAAACCTATGAAGAGATGTTCAATGTAACTTAAAAAAAATTAACAAAATATTCTTCACTAACTTGACTGTCAAAGTTTAAATATGAGGAAACAGAAACTCTTATACTGTTGGTAGGAGAATACTGTGGTATAACAATTTTTAAAAATAGCTTGACAGTAAATATTCATATCCTTTGATCCAGTGTATGTCATAGGTGGACTCTCACAAACTATTAATATATATTAAAAATATATGTATGTATGTTCATTACAATACTACTTGTAATATTAGTAAAAAAAACAAAGCAATCTAAATGGGTATCAGTAAGAAACTGGATAAACATGTTATTGTACAGCCACTTAATGCAATATAAAGTAGCAGGCATAAAAATACAAGTCTCTGTATCTCCTATATGTTATTAAATGATTGAAAGTAGGTTGCAGATCAAAAAGTATAGTGTGACTCTGTGATAAAGAGTTAATTTAGGTAGATTAAAAAGAAATTCTTTATACAGTACAGGTGACGAATTACCATTACATACTATATAGTATACTATAATAATACTATTATACAGTAGAGGTACGAATAGATTCAAGGGATTAAATCTGGTAGAGTGCCTGAAGAATTATGGACAGAGGTTTGTAACACTGTACAAGAAACAGTAACCATAAGCAAAGTGGTTGTCTGAGGAGGCTTTACAAATAGCTGAGGAAAGAAGGGAAGTAAAAGCAAGGCAGAAAAGGAAAGATACATTCAACTGAATGCAGGACTCTTAGAGACTAGCAAGGAGAGATAAGGCCTTTTGCTTTCAACAGTGCAAAGTAGAGGGAAACAATAGAATAGGAAAGACTAGAGATCTCTTCAAGAAAATTGGAGATATCAAGGAAACATTTCATGCAAAGATGGGCACAGTAAAGGACAGAAATGGTAAGGACTTAACAGAAGCAGAAGAGATTAGAACAGGTGGCAAGAATACACAGAAGTATACAAAAAAGGTCTTAATGACCATATAACCATGATAGTGTGGTTATTCACCTAGAGCCAGACATCCTGGAGTGTGAAGTCCAGTGGGCCTTAGGAA